ATATAGACGGCCTGTGTTAAAATGCAAATTAATATCAATACATATACAATTATGAATAAATGTATGCAAAGGTGATTTCTAGGCTTTGAGTTTTATTTAAACCATCTAGCAGTTTAGGGTTAAGTTTGAAGTTTGAGAACAAAAAAAAAAAACAAATCAATTACAATAGCTGAATATGTACGAGTAGGTACATATGTATGTATGTATGTAGTTTTCTGTAGTATAAAAACTTACACAGAATAAATCATTCCTTTCTTAGCGCCACCTTGTGATTTAATACCCTGATACATGACTTCATTCCAATCTTCACCGGTTAGAATTTGAAATACTGTAAGTAAGGCTATGGGGAATGTGTTGAAATTTGTTTCGGGGGTACCGCTTTTAAAACTAAATTGCCCGCCAAACAATTGCATGCCAAGTAGTGCAAATATTAGAATGAACAAGAAGAGCAGGAACAATAGTGAAATGATGGATCTCATCGAGTTCAACAACGAAATCACAAGATTTCGCAGTGACGACCAATATTTGGTCACTTTGAAGATACGTAGTAAACGTAGCGCTCTCAATACGGATAGACCGAATGAGCCTCCCTTCACCTCAGACCATATAACTTCGAATATCGAACCACTAATGACGACACAATCGAAACGATTAAACGACGATTCGAAGTAAGTGCGCGGTCCGAGCGCATACATTTTGATAAACATCTCCGACATGAATAGACCCAAAAACGAAAATTCAGCATAGTCTATAATGAGAAGAGAATAAAAGAAAAAAATTTAATTTCAGTTAGCATGCCAGACTAAGGATTAAATTAAATAAAATTGAATGAAAAAGAATCGTTGAATGGACTGTGATGCAAAATATCCCTAAGACTCCAGACTAATGGCCTTATTCATAAAAAATACAGTAGGTTTAAAGAGCTTTATAAAATGACATTTTCATAAATTTTTCAGTTTATAAACCATTTTTTAAAGCCAATTTATTTTTTTTTTATGAATAAGGTCATAAGACCAAATGTCAGGTAATAGCTATTTATAATTTTGTGGGTTTTACCAGAATCTATTCAAAAGCCCAGTTTTTATTTCCCATCGCAAATCCCTTCCGAAATAAAGTCTCTAAGGATGATTCTTGATGCCAACCTTTCATGGTAGCCTTCTAGGGCGCAAGAACCTAACGGTGACAACTCAATTAACCCTCCCTGTCATGAAAAGGATGAAACTTCGGTACACTTTTTTAACTTCTGCACCGCCTCGCAGTATTTGGCGAGTCAACATTGGACTTTGATAGGCGCTTTTATTAGAAACTCAAATATTTCGGTACCAAGCATCGAAAGTATTGGGTACTTCTCAACTCGGTACCGAGTATCGATCATACCATAAAAGTATCGACTCAGCACATCACTGCTATGATTATTTTAAATGCTTATGAGGCTTATTAAAGGAACATATTGTTTGAGTAATAAAATACTTATCGGTATTAGTGAATGTAGCCAAATTTATCGATAGTGATATCAATACATTTATCGAATTTTTTTTAATTTAGAGTTATCTTTATATTGATCGAAATTTTTATCGATATTTTATAGATTTATCAATTCATCCATATTTTGTCGCTTTATCGGTATTTCTTTGATTAATCAGTACTTTATTGATTTATTGAAATTTTATAGATATATCGATGTTTTGTCGATTTATCGACTTCCACTGTCCACTGACCATGGCGTTTTAAAATACTCTACCAATTATACTTACATAAAAATTGCGTTAAAAATTTTGGTTGACCATAGTGCTCTACAGCGACACACATAGTGTTCAGGAATACGAGTACGATGACGAACCAATAGAACCATTGCGTTTTCACCGTGTGCCTTATCCAGAAGCGAAAACGTTTCTCGGCACGCCAAAAGCCCGTACAGCTGCCTTGTGGTTTCGGGCGTGATTTTAGGTATCCTATAGTTAAAATTATAATTGGAGAATAAAATAAAGCGGCGCGAATTAGTAAAATTTAAAACAATGTTTACTAAGTATACAAAAAACGGGTAGAATTCTCTAGGTAATTATTTCGATATGTATGTATGTGTGTAGGTAAGTAATGTGCGAGCATGTTTTGAAAATTGTATTAGGAAGGAGCGTATATAATGTTTCGTAGATACAGCAAGAAAATGTTAAACATAAATACAATGCATTTGTATTTTAAATGCATGTATTTATGTTTTATATTTGTAAATAGCAATGCATACACAGAATAATGAGCTACTGGCTTTGAAATATTTATTTTAAGTGCACATTGTTTATGAACTATGGTGTGAACTAACCATGAACGTTAAGAAAATGGTAGATTTTTTTTTTTTTGTTTCATCAATTGTGTTCTAGTTAGAATAGATAAAAGTGGAGCAGTAATTTTTCTAAGGTGGAAAATACTAGCTGACTGAATCAATATTTTTGATTTCATAGGAAATAAATGTTTGCTTTTATTTGAAAATCTCTTAGAGTCCTTAATGATCTCTGAAGTTTATAGTTTCGAAAAGTGTCCATTGCTTTTATGTGATGCAACAATTCACAAATTCAAAAAACTTTTGATGAGACATTAGGACTTACTGTTGAATTTACATATATACATGCATAAGCTGCACAGTGTTTCTAAGACCTCTAATTATTTTCTGGAAATTTTTATTTTTGTAATTTCAGATATTAAACAATGGACCTTTGATATATAAAATTAGGCTTAATCTTTGACTAAATTTTAAGCTTAAACTCCCTTCATCGGTACAAATATTTAAACTTTCAGTGTGAAGTTGTCAGCATTATAAAAACGCACAATATCACGTGGGCAGAGCTCTCCCATACTTTTATAGATTTTATACAGATTAGTGCAAAGTAGAACCTCTTTCTCGTCATCACTGTCGAAAAAATTTGCGGACCACGACCACAGATCTGGCCACCACTACTGTAAGGTTTATTTTTCTTAGTTTTCCTTTAAAATGTTAATGATTTTGTGATGAGTATTTAAATTTTCGATTCAAGTTTGAGACTCAGAACATTCTTTTCTAAGTTCGTTGTGCAATTAACGCCTTAGTTAATGTGGGTGTATGTGTGTGTGTATGTATGCATATCGTTTCCAAGCTAGGTTTTAAAGCGGTATATGGCGTACAATAAAAGCTGCTAAATAGTATTTAAGGGCTATATTTTAGTTTGATTTCAAATGTTAGCGCATACGAGTTTTTTTTTATTTTGGCGAAAAATAGTAGAATTTAAAAAAAAATGATTAAGTAAAAGTAAACAAAATTAGAATCGAAATATTTGTGCTTGTGGCAGTACAAGAATTATTTATTTTTAACCCTTAATTAGGCGCATGGGATGAAGACCATTTCAAATTAAACAAAAAATTGTTGGAGTCCGCGCGGGATACCCAATTTAGTCCCGGCCAGAACATCGGCGCTTACACGTGCGTCGCTATTTTATTGAGTGCTGACCCCATG